TTATCTGTGAAAACCCTTGTCAGGAACACTGGGCAGGTGCGTGGGGGCATCTACCAGCAGGGGGTCCAAGTGCTTTGTACCAGCAGGTACTTCACTGGGCTCCCATGGGCCAGAGCAGAAGAGGCTCATCGAGGGGTCCAGGCTGGTGTGGATCTCAGAGATAGCTGCAGCCATCTCACTGCCAAAGATGAGGACCTTTGCCCGTGACGTGGTCAGGCAGTGGCACAGGGCATCCCGCCAGAGGTTGGTGTTGGTAAGTGCTGCCTCCACGCCCAGCTTGGCTATGCCCAGCCACAGGCCCACGAACTCGAACTCGTTGCGGTTCTCCATGAATAAGGCAGCCACATCACCTGAGGCCAGGCCTTGGGCCTGCAGGAAGTTGGCTAAGCTGCTTGAGTAGTCATCCAACTGTTTGAAGGTCCAGTGAATATCCGTGCCCTCAAAAATCAGGGCAGTCTTGTTGGGGTGGCGCTGTACCAGAGAGGCAAACAAGATGGGCACTGTCCGCTTCTCCCGCAGGTACCGCCGCACTTTTGCCTTCATCCTCAGGAGTACCATGCCGCTGAAGATGTCGCGTCTGATGATCTTGAAAAAGATCCGGAGGAAGCGCCAGCCGCCAGACCCCAGGTAAAGGAGCAGCAGGGAGAACTCCACCTGGGTCCAGGGGAGTTTCAGCACCAGCTGGGAGAATAACAGTACCCCCACCAGAGACGCCCCAAGCAGCATCCTGGCCTTTAACAGCCGCTCAGGCGAATGGTTGGGTCTAGGGCTTAGAAGGAAGGAAAGTGCTGACTGCTGCAGGGGCTGGGCTCAGCCGAGGACCATGCAGCTCTATTTCTGGCGTTTTGTACACTTGCTCAAGAGAACAGCAAATGGGACTCAGTATTCCTTCAGGTTCTCTTATTCTGGCTTCGGCTCCACCGCGCGGTACCCTGTCCAGATGCGGCCTGGCTGCGGTAGCCGAGTGAGGGGAGCGGAGGGCATCAGCTGCCCCTGGGCGCACAGATCCAGGTCTCAGCAGTGCTCTGCCCATTGCATCTTTAAATATTCAGACTCAAGTTTTTTCTTCAGCTTGAGTTTTTTCTTCAGTTAGTTCCGTTTTAGAAATGCCAAATGAGTGCATCCCTTTTGATTTTCTGACTTCAACTCCTTGCACATTTCACGATAATATTTTGCTTTGTCTTCCTGAAATGCCCTTTGAAATCTTATGTTCAGCTCCTTAACTTCCTGTATTCTTCCCTTTCTTTTGGATTCTTGGTACTCTAGTGCAATATTCAGAGTTTCCTCTAACATCTATCTCAGTCTTTTCTCCCTCCACTGTCTTTGTAATGACTTTTGCATTTTTCATGAGTAATATTGTTGATATCCATTGTTGATATCCTCCCACAGCTCATTTGGTCTTCATTCATTAGTGTTCAAGACCTCAAACCTGTTCATGAAATGACTTTTAAATTCAGGTGGGATGGATTCAAGGTCAAACTGGGTTCGTGTGGATTTGATTTAATTTTATTTAGCTACAGGCTCGAACTTGCATGTAAGTAGTTGATGATCTGTTCCACATTCAGCACCTGGCCTAGAAAACTAGGAAGATATTGAGCTTCTCCAGCAATTCTTTACACACAGGTAGTCAATCTAATTCCTGTGTAGGCCATCAGGTGAAGTCTATGTATATAGTTGCTGTTTGTGTTTCTGATAAAAGGTATTTGCAATGACTAAATCATTATTTGTACAAAATTCTAACATTCTATCTCCAGTCTCATTTCTATCACCAAGCCCATGTTTTCCAACCTTCTTCCCTGTGCCCAGCTTTTACATTCCAGTCACCCAATATTATTAATGTGTTTTGGTTGTATGTTCAATAGATTTTTCTACTGGAAAAGTTGGTAGAAATAAATGATCTATTTCCTCATCTTTGGCTCTGGTTATTGGTGTATATATTTGAGTTATAGTGGTATTAACAAGTCTTCCTTGTATGAATATGGGTATTATCCTGTTGCTTACAACATTGTAACCTAGTCTGTTACATAACATTGTAAGATTTATGAGGGTAAAAGTATGAGTTCAGTTTGGGGCATAAAAAAAGAATGAGGTAAATACGTGTATTGTTGTTGATTGCCTTTGAGTCGAGCATGACTCATAGTGACCCTATGAACAAAAGGCTGGAAGTCCCTCTACAACTATCGACATTTATCGAAGTTCATAGTTTCTGGAAGCAAGTTGTTTAGGAAGTGGGTGCCATTCTTGCTTCCAAACCTCACAGAATGTGTTACTGGTTGAGTCACCTGCAATGCATAGTGACCCTATGTACAGCAGCTCTGAACCCTATACTGATACTGACATGGAAAATATATCCAATGTCTATTAAGTGATAAGCATGTTGTAGAATTCTATGGTTTAATATAATTTTAATTAAAATATTAATATGTCCACTGAAAGAAATGTGAGCAATGTTATACATTAAACAAACACTGATTATCTCTGTGGTAATAGGTAAAACTATGGTTTTGGTGGTGGTTTAATATTTTGTTGTAATATCGTTTGCCTTTGTCATCAGAGAAAAAGGACTTTGAACAGTAAAGATTTGTTTCACATGTTTAAAAACTGTTTGAAACAGAAAAATACTTATTCTTAAAAGAGGGACTTTTTCCTTCCCTTTTGCCAGCACAAAAGAGTTCCATAACAATTTCTTGAATCTGTAAAGGAGAGTTTGTGAGGACAGAAAAGTACAAGATAGGAAGTATGTTTGAGCTCAGATACATCTCTTTAATAAGTAGTCAGTGAATGGGGACCTGGTAAGTCTCTAGCTCACCAACCTTTCCTCCCTGTACAGTAAATCTGCAACCTCCATCGAGGAGGATGAACAAAGGTCTTGTCCAGCAGCTCCCCTGGGCTTGCCCCATTGATCTAGGTCCCCAGCAGACTGATGTTGGCAATCAGAGCTCTTCTTGGATACCTGTGAGCCGAGAGAAGATGCGGTGAGACAGAACTAGTGTCCAGACACAACAGTGTGAAGAACAGAAGAGGGCAGCAGGGGATAACCAAAACCCAGGCGATCTTGTCCTGGGCCAGTGGATCAATTGTCCTTTCTTCCAATGGCCCCAAATTTTTCCATGGCAAATGTGGGGGCTTCTGGGTTCCCTCTGGAGTGTCTTGGAGTTTAGCAGACTCTGTGGTCCAAGAGAAAGGTTAGCTTCTCAGGGACAACTAGTTCCAGACTTTTGTACCTGCTGTGTCCTCTGTCAGATGGAGCCCTGGTGATGCAGTGACTAAGTTTCAGCTGCTAATCAAAAGATTGACAGATCAAATCCATCAGTCACTTCATGGGAGAAAGATGTAGCAGTCTGCTTACATAAAGATTTACAGCCTGCAGGATACCGTCCCACTAACTCCCTGCCACCGAGTATGTGAAGACTCAGCTGTCCCCCATGTGGTTTCCAAGGCTGTAAAATCCAAGGGCTGGAGCCCATCTTTCCCTGTGGAGCTGCTGGAGGATTCAAACCCCTAGCGATGCACAGCTTTTGGGTTCTCAGTGCAACTTACCACTGATTACCCACAAGTTTTTGTTGTTAGGTGCTGTTGAGTAGGACTCATTGTGACGCTGTGAACAACCAACCCGAACCCTGCCCTATCCTGTGCCATCCTCATCCTGAGACACTACAGCCCATTGCTAAAGTCACAGTGTTAATCCATCTCAATGGGAGTCTTCCTCTCCTTCACTGACCCTCCATCTTTCCAAGCTTGATGTCCCTTTCCAAGGAAAAGCCTGACCTAGCTACATGTCCACAGTATGAACTGGAGCCCTCCTGAAAACCCTATGGGGCAGTTCCATTTTGTCCTGCAGGGTCACAGTGAGTTAGAGTTGACTCGATTACACTGGGTTTGGCTGCCTCAAACATTCCCTCTCCATCTAAGCATCACTATCTCATAAGAAAGGGTTAGAAGCTTCTCTGCTTCCATAGCCTGTACTTTCCTCATCCAGCACTATTCTGTTCTAACAGATGCCTTTTATTTGTCTGATTCTTGACCCTATGGCAATAGGTATTTTTACTTTGGTACTCTTACTTTGGTGTCCTAGTGGATAAGGAAATGTGCTGACAACCCGAAGGCAAGAGGTTCGAATCCACAAGCTGCTCCTCAATAGAAAGAAAAAAAAAAAGGGGTGATTTCCTCTCATATTATTCACAGCCTCTGTAAACCCACTTGAGGGCTAGCTAGGAGTCAGTTCTGACTCAACAGTACATAACAGCACAGGATTCAGAGGGATCTCTAGTGGCCTGGTGGTAAGAAGCTGTGCTGCAATCCCAAAGGTACGTGGTTTGAATCCACCAGCTGCTCTGTGGGATAAGGATGAGAAATCTCTTCCCATGTGACTTATTGCCTCTGAAAACCTGCTGGAGGATCAACTATGAGTCAGCTCCACCTCAGTGGCAACCGACAACAGCACTACTGTGTAGGTTGGAATCATCAGCCTTTTGTTTATCAACCAAGTACAAACCACGTGTGCTACCCAGGGACCTAATCCCCTAAGAGTACTTCATAATGTTTGATTTGTGGAGGAATAAAACATGAATGAGTGGCAGAAAGAGCAAGTAACCAACAGCTTCATCACTTTTTTGGATTGTGGTTCTATGTAGCCTAAGTGAGGAGTCTGGGGCAATGAAGGGCTCTCTCCTTCCTCTTTTCCTTTCTCCCCCTTCTCTAGCCAGTGCACCTCTCCACATTCCCCATGTGGTATGAGCTTGCACTCCCTCTACTGGCCAGATTTCAGATCCGCAGGGAGCCCAGCCAGTGTACCCCTCATTTACTTCTTTCCCTTTGGAAAGACTCTTATACCTCTGCCTCAACTTTAGAGTTTACAAGGGACCCAAGTGTTAAGAGAAAATAGGGTTGGTCAGCATACAGTATTGGATACTTCCAGGGCTGATGTCAGAAACACTTTCTTCAGACCCTTACCTCATGCTCAGTTGCTGGAGTCTCCGCTTGTACTCCTTCTGTGACAGCTAATTCACAGAGATGTTGATTTCTGGAGCCTTTGGCTGATACATCAGATCTGACTGTGGAAGAGTTATCCCAGACGAGATAGAAACGAATAAAAACCAAACAAAAAGAGACAGAGGAAGGGGCCAATAATGACAGTTACAGACCCACAGAGAGACAAAGATACAGATGAGGCTGAGAAAGTTCACCAAGGCATGTCCCCAACCCCTTCCAGCCCTAATGGCTCATAGTAAACTGGCACCCCAGTCCAATGAAGGAGGGGCTAAGGGGAGTAATTGTGTTGATGGAAATATATTCGGAATGTAGAGCAGCTAGCTACTGGACTATTCTGGTGCCCCAAAGAGCTCTCCCCTCCACCCTCAGCCTAACACTTACATCATCACTGTCACTCCCACTGAAGGAGTGCTCTGGGTCCAGAACCTTCTCAGGGATGTTCTGCTCCTCTTCTGGCATCAGCTCATCCAGCCAAAGAAGTTCCTGTGGTGAGAAAACCCACTCCAGGGCCTTCCGGACACCCACCAGGCCCAGCAACTGCAGGAATAGAAACATAGCCCATACCTGTCAGCAACAGCAGCAGGCATACTATCAGTGGTTAAATTTATTAAGCACTTTGCTACATGCAAGACATCAGACATTGTTTCACTGAGCTAACCCACTCCTAATAGTTAAGATACAATTGTTATTTCCATTGAACTGAGAAGGAAGCTGGTACTTGGAGACACGAGTAACTTCATAGAGGAAACATGATGGTCCTGTGCACAGCCAGCAGTGCCAAGACCAGAAACTGTCTGTTATTATCTCAGTGAGTAAGGCACTAGCATTGCCCCTCCCAGGACCTCAGTTTCCTTATGAGCTTTATTATCCTTCTTTGTAGTTGATCAGATCATAAAAGCTGGGATGGAAGTGAATCAGGCCACCCATCTGTGAGAATGCCTCGCCTATCTTTCTTTGTGTTCAGATTCTCAACCAGGTAGAACAAGAGCAAGTAAGAGAAGGAATATGGCCTCCTCCTCCCCACTGTCCCCCGCTTTTGTGTAGGCCTTGGCCATCCATCCAGGCTCAGAGTTTCTCAGGAACACTCAAAACCTCCACAGATGTAGGAACCACTTCCCAACCCCATTCCAAATCACCATGAGGGGGAAGATGATGGCTGCAGGGGTAGATTTGATTGTCCAAAGCAGACCGAGGCAGACCAGCTGGATGGCCGTGAACAGGTGGACTCTGCACAGAGGCACGTGCCGCAAGAGCAGCAAGTCTGGCTGGTGTTTTGCTGGCATCAACAGTAGCTGCACCCTCTTTGTGAACTGGGAACAAAAGGAGGCAAAAAGAGCACTCAGGCAGCCTGGAGGGTGTCTCTGTTAGTGAAGCCCACCCAGAAGACTTCCTTGGTCCCTCTCCACACAGAGTGGGGCAGCAGAGTCCCCGTGTTCAGGAGAGGCAAGAAAAAGAATTAGGAGAACTGGTAAGTGCAAGCAGGAAAGAAAAAAAGACTTGGGTTGCTAGGTGATTTCCATGGGCTCACCTGGATGCTGTTAAGTGCTGCCACCCCCATGTACAGGAAAATACCGTAGAGCACGGGCATCGGGATGAACTGGGAGAAAGAGGCCGAGAGCTGACAGAGGAGTCTGCCTCTGCCAGCCACCTAGACACTCCACCAGATGTACCAACTCCATCCATCTTACATTTAGGACCTAAGCCACAGGCTTTTTCTTTTTCTTCATACCTGCCCCATCTCACTGAATCTTTACCTGAATTAGGTGAGGCAAGTTCTAGTACTCTCTCAATTTTACAGAAGGGGGAAATTTAATTTCAGAAAAGAAACTTGTCCCTTCCCTGTCCTCCCGCTCCAGTCTTGTCTTCCGCAGTCCTGTCAGCTCTCTGTGCTCCTGCTATACTGCCTTTCTCTCACGGCCTCACCATGCTCAGGCTGGTGCCTACCTCCAGCAAAGCCTTTTGCTATTTTTCTCTGCCTAAAATGTTCTACTCTGAGACTTCAGAATGGTCATATCCTTTTCATTACTCATACTTCATCTGTGACATCCCAGGAGTCCTTATCCGACCATTCAGTCTAAAGTCTTTGTGATTTTTCTGGTGAGTCTGAGTCAATTCATAGCTGACCCACCACTGGGTTTCCAAGGCTGGAAACTGCTCCAGAAGAGACTTCCCATCTTTTTCCCCTTGGAACTTCTGGTCAATTTGAAACACCAGTGGGGCTCATCCTTTTACTGCGCCACCAGAGTTAGAGCACTTTAAAGCAGTCCCTACTTAACCAACCACTTCAGCCTCCTTTATTTTCCTTAGAAGTTACCGCTGTCTGGAATTATTCTGTTTTATTATTATTATTTACACACACACACACACACACACACACACACACACACACACCCCTTCTTTTACTGTTCTGTAAGGATGGGGAGGGACATAGTCTCTTTTGATCACCATTATACTGTGCTTGACTACTGGCTGAAGGGTTGGTAGTTCAAAGCCATCCTGGGCACTTTGTAGGACAAGACTGAGGGTTTGCTTTCAAAAGCTCACCGCCTTGAAACTCATGGAGCAGCTTTACTCTGGATGCCTGAGGTCACCACATCTCAGAATCAACACAATCACAATATCCCCTAAACCCAGAACACTGTGTGGCATATGACTTAGCCCCAGTAAATACCTGCTGACGAGAGTCACCTAATTAGTAAGTGGCTGATCAGGTCCTTCTGGCTCTTTGTACTCCTCTCTCACCCAGCCTCCATGACCTTTCCCTCCCCTAGCCTCTCGTCAGTCTGCCAGAGCCTCCTTGTCTGACATCCTCCTTGACTGCTCCTTGTCTCAGCTTGGTGAATATTTCTGATCTTGTTACTTGTGTGTTGCTGCTGTTGTTGGCGGGGGCTTGGCTACGTATTCCTTTTCAGCACCCTCCTCAGGTTGCCCCCCACTTCTCCCAAGAGTCTAACAGAGTTTTGCACATAGCTGATATTCTATAAACATCTAGTGAGGGAGAAGTGAGAAGTTTTGCCACCTAGTTTTCCTGGGATATAATATTCAGGCTTTGAGTCTCAGGCCTGCTGGGAAGCTGGAACAAGGCTAGTGCTTGAACCCTGGGGGTGGGGGGTGGGGTGGGAAGAGTGGTGGTGGTGGTGTAGCTTTACTCCACTGGGTGCAAAATCTACTAAATAAGAATTGGGACTTCAGATAGATCTGAATTCAAAACTGGCTCTCTTCATGGACTCTAGACAGTCACTTGGCTCCTTTAACCGCTGTATACCTTTATCCAGTTGTAAAGTGCAGGTGCCCCTCAAGGCTAGTGTGTGGAGTACATGAGAGCACGTATGCAGAAAAAGTGACACAGTGCCTGGCATACAGCAAGTGTTCAATGTCAGTTCTTGCTCTATGATTATATTATTGCACTGAGCCCGACCCCGGGCTATTGAACAAAGGTACCTTGAGCACAGGTGCCAGGAAGATGGAGACTCCTGTGAGAATGAACACAGCCAGGCCCGTCAGCCTCTGCTCCCTGTAGGGAAGAGGGGTGAATAACCGGGGCCCCAGAGAGTCACAGGGGCACCCAGGCTGGAGATCCAGGCCAGGTAGCACTACAGATCCTGCCAACAGGAGAGAATTAGAGGGATCTGCCAATGATTTACTTGGAAGGAGAGGGCCTTGCTTAGCTTAGAGTGAAAAATTATTAGACAGGAGTGGAAGGGTACTTCAGCATGGGAGGTCTCTCCAGCAGTTCAAGCTTATAATAGTTCTTGTTTTTATTCTGATGGAAAAATAGCAATTTTTGCACTATCATAGAGACTCATATTAACAAATAACATAGTTGATTGCACAGGTTTTAGACAGTACAATCATATTTCCAATAGTTACTCCAAAATTATTCATGCAATAGATGACTGTAATCAATTATGTGTGTCTAAACCAGGCTACTCCTTGGAGGGAAAGATTCTGGGGCTTTGTCTGACATACTTTGGACATGTTGCAAGGAGAGACAGGTCTTTGGAGAGGGACATCATGCTGGGTAGAGTAGAGGGACAGCGCAGGAAGGGAAGACCCTCTATGAGGTGGATTGATTCAGTGACTGGGGTAATCGGGATGGGTATGTCAGAGGCAATGAGATTGGCACAGGACAGAGCAGGGTTTAGGGCTGTTGTACATAGGGTCGCTATGAGTGTCGCAAATGTAACAACAACAAAAAAAATCCTCTATGGGGATTACTAGGTGACAGCCCTTGCCCTCAGCCCCAGATGCCTTTAACCTTAAGTCAGTGATACCCCCTTGAGACCCCTTCCCAGCCCCTGTAGCCAGACTCTAAAGAGGAGAGAGGAGAAGAAATGTTTCAGCCACTTCTGAGCCCAAAACCCACCCATTCACCCCAATATCATGTTCATGGGCAGTGAGGAGTCCTTTGGAGTTGCTTAGAATTTAACCTACCAGAATAACTGTCTTGTACATCACTAGCCCACTTTTCCCCCAACCCTCATCCCAGCCTCACCTGATGCCTAAGAAGTGAGGGGGCTCTCCAGGGGCACAGGCTTTACTTTCCCTCCGGAGACTATCCATGTGGGCGAGGGAAATGACGGTTGCTGAGACATACCAGGGTAGCCCAAGTGCTGAGGTGAGCAGCATCAACACAGCTACACAGAAGAGGTCGAGGTGGAAGCCTGCCCCCTTCTGGAGGTGATGGTGGAGCCCATGAGGGTGATGCTGGCCTAGGCCCGTGCCTGGGCCCCCTCTTCCCCGGGGAGGGACAGTAGGAACAGGGATACCCCAATCCCCACCCTAGAGCTTCCACTCCTTGGTTAAAGGCCCAAGACCTTACCCAGCCAACCTCACCTGTAGTCTATACTCTGGACGGTTGAGGATGACTGCTGTGATCTGCTGGTCCATGAAGATGAGGATAGAAAGCAGTAGGGCAGGCAGGGCTGCTGCCACACTCAGCCACCAGGGACTGGCTCTAAAAGGTGACACCAACCAGCCACGTCCAGAGAGCGTGGGCTAGGGAAGAGCGTTCCATGAAAGGTTGGAGAGAATCTCCCATGCTCATCTTCTCTCCCACACACTCCAGCTCTGGTATTCTTTCCCCAACTCACCTTTCCCAAGCAATATTACACGTGTGTGTGTGTGTGTGTGTGTGTGCACGCGCGCACGCGCGCCCTGAGAGAGGGCAGAAGAAAGGAGACTAGTTTGAGGATTAGGCTAGAGCAAAGAGCTCTGGACTTCGGTTTTCAAGATCTCTCCCTCTCTGAAACATGAGGAGAAGAAAGAGCAGGCCTGCCCATTCTTGTGCACAGACACCTCCTTCCTAGGCACTGCCCTTCCCCATTCAGGGTGGGGCAACTCAGGCTCAGGCCTGCCTTGGTCTGGGGCAGGGACAGGTGTGCCTGCATCTGTTCAGATTATAAGCGTCAATGTGGATGTGAGGGCGCAGTTTCTATCTCTGGTTCTGAGGCCCTCAAGCTTTTCCCTTGGTCTCCTAGGGGGAGGCTGCAGGACAGGACAGGTGAGGGAGTCAATGCTAAGCCCTGCCCTGTGCATTGTCTGTGATCAGAGCAGGTGATGAGGCAGCAAGAAAAGTAGGGAGTAGGGGAGCCAGTAAGGCCAGACCAAGGGTAGGGTGACCCCGTAGCAACAGTAGCTGCCATTTACAGAGGACTTGGAATGTACCAGATACTGAAGTAAACCACAGAACAACCTATGGGGAAGTCTTTATCATCAGTTATGTTTCCATTTTATAGATGAAGAAATTGAGGCTCAGAAATGTGGATTAACTTGTTTAAGATCACAGAGCTTGGAAGTGTGGAACTGGAACTCAAACCCAGGGCCAGCTGACTAGGCCCATGCCTCACGATCACTAACCCAGATTAGTATGTATTCTGGGCTATTCACCAAGTATCTAGCACATCACCTCATTAAATCCTTAAAACAACTCTGGAAGACCAATACCTCTACTATTCCTATTTTAATAGTGAGGAAACTGAAATTTGTAGAGAAGGGTCCTGTATGCTAGGTCCTGCCTTCCCCTCTGCCTGTCCCTCTCAACTCCCAACTCTCACCTTGAACTCTCTGGGCACCATGAGCTTTGGTGTGGCTAGACCCAGGAAGGCGTCAAGGCCACAGCCCAGAAGGATGGCCAAAACTGAGGAAAAGTCACCGAGCACCTTGCGTACCTGGTCACACAATGAATGCTTAGCCAGAGTTGAGTACATCATTCCCTTTCCTCCATATCCTTTCCCATTTACAGAAAGGGCCCAAGGCCATGAGCCTGGCCTCTCCCACAGAAATAAAGAGGATACTTACCACTGAGGGGAAGAAGTGGCTGGTCTTGATATGCTTGAGGGCCATGGCAAAGAAGAAGGAGGTGAGGAAGAGGAGGAAGGAGAAGAAGGTGATGTCTGGGACTGCATAACAGTTGGGACCACGAGGGTGGCCTCCCTGCTGGACACACTGAAGTGGGGGCAGTAATGATGCATTGACCAGGCCTAGGTCCTATATGGAGGGGTGGTTAGGGTGGTCATGGCAATGGAATAAACATCCTGCTCTCCTAGACCCCCCTCATCAGGAGAAAAGCCTATTTAGATATGAAGAGTCAAGGGTAGGAAGCCTTTAGCCATAGGAAATGACTGAGCCTCAGTGACGTATGAGGGGTTCCCTATTCTATAGGCTTGGGAGATCCAGAGGGCATTGAATTCTCTGTTCTCCACACTTCCAGAGTCTCACCATTCTTAAGATATCATCATTGTCTTTTGGCTTTGTCCATTGAGACTTATTTCCTGGAAGTAAAGAAGAATTCAGGTATATGTCGCTTGCCCGTGGAACCTGTCCCAGCCCCACCAGAGCCTAATCTAAGAGAATAAGATGAATCAGAGATCCAATCAGAGATCTGGCTCATCTGTCTGCTGATTCCATTGCTAATAGGTCTGTGCTCGTCAGATCATTTGCCCATGCCCTTACCCTCTTAAATTCTCCATCCCTCCATCTCTGGTGCCTAGCACAGGACTTGGCAGAGCTGATGTTCACTAAATTTCTGGTGAACAGATGTGCACATTGACTTGTTGGATCTACATATCTATGCACTTTCCCTTGGCCTTCCCCCCCACCCTGGGTCTGAATTGGTCTTGTTCATGCCCAGCACAGTGTCTGGCACATGTTGGAGCGAACACTTCTTCCCCAGTCTTCTTGTTTGCATTATAATACTCAAAGCTTCTCTGGAAGAAGCAGCTGGTGTACCTGACCCAGATCCTTCTCCTTTTTCTTGGGAGTAAGCTACATGCCTCATGCTCAGCTTCTTTGAGGCAAGACTCTGCCCAATGATGCCATGACTGGTTCGGTGGTGGTGTGTGCCAGTGAGTCAGTTCCAACTCATTGCCACAGAGGGCAGAGCAGAACTGTCCCACAGGCTTTCCTAGGCTGTAATCTTTACCAAAGCAGACTGCCACATTTTTCCCCCCATGGAGTGGCTAGTGGATTTGAACTACAGACCTCTCAGTGGCTGAACACTTAACCATTGCACCACTAAAACTCTTGACTGAATGAGTAAATCCAATTTGGGTTTCATCAATAGGAAACCCATCCATCCGTCTATCTATCTGTCTGTCTATCTATCTATCTATCTATCTATCTATCTATCTATCTATCTATCATCTATCTATCTATCCAGCCATCCACAACAACAAATATATAAATAAATATATATAAGCGCTATATATTATATCTGGAGAGAGGATGAAAGGCACCCAAGTGTCGAGAACTCTCCTTCATAGGGTCGTTATGAGTCGCCTGCGACTCGATGGCACTTAACAA